ACATACATGATGTGGTTCTGTAAGTATGCTGGATGAGGAAAAACACTCCAGATTTGCAAGTCTCCCATCCCAAATTTGAAACAGAGGAACTCTGTTCTGGTCTGGAGCAGTAGACTATCCGTTTACAATAAACAAAGCAGATAAAGAAATGCTTACATACATTCCTTATTTACCGTTAAATCTAAAGCGTAGGGCTTATCTAAGGCCTCAGGTTATGAAAAATCCTTCCACGTGTTCCAACCTGTCCTGAATTAATCTGTGGGAGCTTTGCTTCTGGGTCACATCTGTAGATGAATCAAGAGAATTGTCCTAAATGTCATTAAGTTTTTACTGCAGCTGCTTTAAAAGAAAAAAAAAAACCCAAACTACAAACAAGTGCAAACCTCAACTGAATCAGCACAAAATCCTAGCTTTATCCTCTTGACTTTCTGAATTAACTCTTAATTCAGCTCAAGAAATACTAATCATGTATCCTAAATAATGCCTATTACTGGCTGGCTTTTCAATTAAAATTTCATAAGCTTTTAATGAAAAAGTAGTGAAATTACCCATTGACACTCAGCATGTTAGGTTCCCCCCAGATTTCTCAACCTCAGGCGATCTGTCAAGCTTGGAGAGTTGTGTCCCCGAGGCACTGACACGGAAGTTAGATTGTCTGTAAAGACAGAAAGGAATCAGCCAGGCTTTATAAGGCTCTGATTTATAGGGAGCCAGTGACTGATAACTCTTTTGAGGTCAGTGCAGTCTGCGTGGGAAAAGGAACAATAAAATGCTTGAGCCTCTTAGGCCCTCCCTTCTCCTGAAGGCAGGATGGGTGTGTAGTGTTGGTACACGTATTCATGAAGTATTTGAAATGTTGAGGATTGCCCATGTTCCCCGTATTGCCATCCCTTCATTTCCTTACCCTCTCCAAAGCAGTTTATCCTGCACATTACTCTCAGCCTATGCCCAGATCTTACCTGTATTTTGTGAGAAGCGTATCTCCAGTGAAAGTTCTTGGCAAAGCACATGGCCTTTAAAAAATGCCCTGATAGGTGGGAATAACTAGAATAACTAATGCCCGATCCTTGTATGTCAATGTTGCCTCCCCATCTGTTTGTTAACCTGCTGAGTATGTGGCATTACATCATATTGAGCTAAGATATTTTGCTGGGCCTGGGCACCTACCGGTCCACATAGTAGCTGTGGTGGTACTTTGTCTATATTACTTGTTCATTTTTATCATGGTCAAATCATCTGTGGGTTCTCTCTGAAGAACAACTTTCATTTTCCCTGTGAGAGGAAAGGGAAGAGTTAAGAGTGGTGGATCAGGAATAGAGCAGACGCAGAGGCTGGAGGAATACATATTGAGAAGTATCAGGATGGCTTAAATTTCACTGCAGTCTCTGTACCCGATTGTCCCCATTGACTATAGGTGGCTCCCTCCTCCCTACCGTGGGCTGCTGAGTCACTGCTCAAAGGCGCTTGGCTTTCGCCACTGTACAGTATGCAACTTCAGGGGAATTTAGACCGTCTGAATATGGCCGTAGTCGGTGCTTTTTTTAGTTTATTACTGAAAAGTGGTTTGCTACAATCACCAGAGCTCACAAGCCCATAGAAGCATGGTGTGGTTTTGGAATATTTTTCTATATGCTTCATGTTGAACCAGTCACAGCAGCATGGGTGCACTTCCAGTGGTATGTTAAGAGAAGAGCTGTTATCAGTTGTGTGTGTCCCTGTTCCTTTTGCTAGCATCAGATCACAGGCGTAGTCTGGTTTGTTGTGCTGTGCTGTGGATGGGAAAGAAATTCATTCTGATTTGTGGAAGAGTAGAGCTGAGCAGAGAGGAGGGTAGTATAGAGGTTCACAAGATTGCAGGTTTTACCCCTAGTTATTTTGTTGTTTAATTGCTGTTGTTCTGAGTCTGTTATCGCCTGTGGAAATAAAAAATTTGCTGTGATCATAGGTGCCTGTTAGTAGCTTGTATTACAGTGAGACTATTTCCTACTTAATCAACATCCAGAGAAAATGCTGATGATCAAAGGAGTGAATGTACAATCTCAGTGTCTGGGCAGCGGGCTGCCTCTCCATTCTCAGCACAGGGCGGCGGAAGCTAACCACCGCGAGTTTCTCCCGGCTGTGCTGCTCTCGAGTGTCTGCTGGGACAGGACAGGTCAGTGCTGCATGTGGAGTCCTGTCCTCAAGTGCTGCGCAGCAGCCCTGGCCCACACTGCTCAGTATTTGGTCTCTTTGGATCTGGTAACCTCTGCCTTTACTTAAGTTTCTTGGCTCTTCTTTTCCATTGCCCTTACTTTGCAATGCTGGTTGCTTCCTCCTAGGTCATGGAGCTCCATTTTGTTTTAATGGCCTGAGCTGCATTTAAAAAAAAAAACTTAGTTCTTCTAGTGAAACATGACTTTCAAGAGGGTGCTGGAGTCTTGAATTGTCAGTCACTGCTTGCAGAGCAGAACTTGCTTTGGGTTTGTTGGCGTGTGTGTGGTGTCTGAAAATTTTGACAAATGTAATGCTTTATTAATTTTTATTTCATTCTGAATCAAAACTTTGTGGTGATCCTTAAGTGGTTAGTGAACGGCTTGATTGCTTTTAACTCTTCCCCTGAGGAACTCTGTGCATCATTTCTCTTTAGAGTTTCGGAACATGTTACCGAGCTGGATGATGTTTCCTGCATCCAAGCAATTTAAAGGCATTTATGAAGAAAAGTTCCTTTTGAAGTGTTCTACAAGATTCCTTTGCTCATGCACAAATATCTTCCAAAATTCCACGGGTTGAGAAGATGAGATTTACATCCCACCCCTGCCAAAATACATTATAAAATCCTTACATTCCCAGTGCTGTCCTGTACTACAGCCTCCACTGTTGTACAAAAGTCTCCAGGAATGGGTCCATCAAGTTTTGCGAAATGGCAAGGTGTTTTTGGGGAGTGGATAGAGAAACCTCACTCCCATACTCAACTCAGGCTCCACTGACCCCTTTTCACAAAGTTTACTGATACGGTAGTAATTTCCACCGTGAAAGATTAAAGCGTACTGCCGTAAGTTGCACGGCTCTCTCAAGTGCCAGTTTAGTGCTTTCGCCAGGGGTCCACTCCTGCTTCATATGCTCTCGCTGCAGCTACTGCCAGTGACCAGCAGTGTTTGTGCTGTCTCTCCTGTGCCTGCCAGCTCGCTTTTTGGTGGGTTTTTTTGTGTGTGTGGAGATCCTTCCCCCTTCTAGGGAAGTGAGGAGTTGCAGTGTGTCTGGTGTCTCTGTGGAGAGTCCACCCGTGTCTGTGGAGAGTCTGGGCCTCTTGTGCTTCCCCGAGAGAAAAGTGCATTGCTGCTGGCCCAGGCGCTACGAGCTCTGTGAGTATGCCTGCTCAAAGTTAGAAACCATTGACTTGTAGGCCCTGAACTCCTTGCATATTAGGAACTAAGTGATAATTGGGAGTTACCAAAGCTGAAATGCATTTTCCTTCTGCTGTCTGAGCAGGGCACTGGTATTGATTCGGCTCTTTCGGCATCAGTGCAAGCAGGTGCAGCTGCTGGCCCTGCTCCACCCCTGGTCGTGCTCGCACACTGGGGCATCTCAGTGGGCCAGACTGGACACTGATCAGGGTTAAAAATGACTCAGCAAAATAAAGAATGTGTTTGGTTTTAACTTGCATCAGTTCCACTGCGTGGATCCATAAAAAGTTGTGGAACAACCGAGGAGGTATCTTGGAATGGGAAACCATCGGTAGGAGACTGGAGCAGAACCAACCCCCAAATTCACAGGTGTCGGGAAGGGTTTAAAAAAGAGGGGGACAACTGCTTGGAGTGCTTTAGGAGAACTATTGCGTGTGGAAAGGAGCAGGGAGAGAGAGAGGATGAAAGGATTTTAGATTTTTTTTTTTCCTTTGTGTTATGATGGGACTGTACAGGAAAGCTCGATAATTGAACAAGGAATTTGCATAGAAGGGGCTCCCAGCACTGCAGTACTTGATAAAATGTTCAAATAATTTTTGTTAAGAGAAGAAAGTAATTGAATCTTTGTTAATGGTTTCACAGACTTCTGTTATATGGCATAGCAAACTTTGGGGTTCCTCTCTGCCCCTGTCTCTTGTTTTTACGTTCTTGGTATCACACCCATCTTAGGTTCTTTTGCACTTAATTTTTTTTCCTCTTTCCCCTTGAAGCAAATATCTTCTGTGTTACATACTCAGCAGTCCACGCATGACTAGGATCGTCAGTGCTGTTCTTTCTGTAAGGAGGGAATCAGTCAGTATTTTGCACTTGCAGTTTCTCTAACTGGAGCCCGCTGTCAAATTTTTAGTAAGCCTACAGGTTTTTCCTAGCTAAATAAAAACAAGCAAACCCTGTCAGCATCTTTGGATGTCTGTGCTCGGTTGTTTGTTTTAACTTAAGTTGTGTAGCCAAAGTTACGATGACAGTCTTGGAAAGTGAACTCATTTAAGAATAGCTAAATTTGTTGGTAGTAAAATACTAGAATTACTGTAGATTCCAGCTTGTTGGTACAAAGCAGAAATATAGGCTTCAGATAGCACTGGAAATGTGATAAAATTAATGTAAGAGAAACACTGTTAGATGAAAACGGACAAGCAATACGGAGCACTTGCACAAAATGGAGAAGGGAGTGGTATTCAGCTGGGCTCATGTACTTGTGTTTGCTTTCTTTTTCTTGTTTTGTTTCAGTTTGGTTTCAGACTTTGGTATCTTGTTCTCTGGTTAATAACGCCCACGTGCTATGTTTTGGTGATGTACTCGGTGGTGCAGTAATGTCAGGGAAAGGAGGAGCTCCCAGCAAAGCTCTTATAAGTGGTTCCATTCTCTGGAAATGCCAGCTGCACCAGCTGGGTTTTGTAATCTCTTCTAAAATGTAGGTCAGACAACTGCTGCTCCTGCAGAGGCCCTCTCATCTTTCTTCCAGCCCCACTAAGTTTCCAGGTGTCCTGTTCCTTCCCATACAGGGGAGGTAATGCTGAAGCCATCGCTCACGTGTTGTGTCCTCCTTTTCGTTCGTAGGGGACGGTCTTTACTTTGGAATCCGAAGAGGAAGAGTACCCCGGGCTCATCGCAGAGGACAGTAATGACATCTACATCCTGACCAGTGACAACTCGGGACAGGTGAGCCCCCCGGAGTCCCCCACGGTGACCACGTCGTGGCAGTCGGAGAGCCTGCCCGTCTCCCTGTCAGCGAGTCAGAGCTGGCACACAGAGAGCCTGCCAGTCTCCCTGGGACCCGAGTCCTGGCAGCAAGTGGCCATGGATCCTGAAGAAGTCAAAAGCCTGGACAGCAACGGAGGGGGTGAAGAAAGGAGTGAGAACAACTCTTCCAACTCGGATATTGTTCACGTGGAGAAGGAAGAGATACCGGAGGGGATTGAGGAAGCAGTGGTGTCAGCCGTCGCTGCAGAGACCATGCAGGCAGCATTTCCAGAAACCCCTGCTTCTTTACAGGAAGTAAAACCTCAAGCTGAAATTGCTGCTGTTGAAAAAGCACACCCCTCCGCACTTCTGCATACAAAACAGGAGGAAAAGGGAAAAGAGGCTGAAGAGCTTGTTGAACCTGAAATCCCCGTATTAAGTAAACCTGTCCCAAAGTTAGTCCCATCAGAAGAAAAGGCTGCACCAGAACCTGAGAAAATACTGCTTCCAGGGGAAAAAAAAGTGGGGAAAGAGGGCCGTTTGGAAGAAATAGAAGAGAAATCCTCCGCTGCAGAGGAGAAGCCTATCTTATTGCCGGAAGGGAAATCTATATTGCTGTACGGTGGGGCTGCTGCAGTAGCTATATTAGCTGTAGCAGTCGGAGTAGCACTGGCGCTTAGAAAAAAGTAACGGAGCTCTCTTGAGGAGGAGGAGGAGGGGGGAGAGAGAAGAGAGCACGATCCAATTTTTGTAGTTGTGTTACCTAAAGGTTGAGCTGCCTGCTGTTTAATTGGACATTTGAGTAACTTAATGGTGATGGGGTGAGGTCATTCAATAAGCCTCCAGCTATGGACAATCATGTTTTTAGTAGAATTGCGGCGGGGACTGGTTTTTCGTGATTAAAGTACAGGGGTATTTTTAAAAAAAAAAAAAAAAAATCTGCAAATTTAAGAACTTAAGCGCAGGTGCTGAAGAAGGGGGTGCTCATACTCTAGGAACTGGAACAGAGAATCCCCAGGGGAAGGGGAGAGCCAGCTGCTGCCAACCCCTGGAGTTTTTGGCTTCTCAGACTGACCGCTATTGCAGCTGCGCTGTCTTGTCACTTCCCGTCGCACCCCCGAGCCCTCCCTAACAAACATTAGCCAACTTGAGTCCTGTAGCGAGAGGCTGGTCTCCCTTTTGTCTCGGCTTCCTCTCAGGTACAGCACTGCTCCTCGTAACCTCACAGGTTCCTCCTAAGCCCCAGTGGGAGAGTGCTCATTCTTACCTCTTTGCTCACACCAGTTTTGGCCCCTAACATTTACTGGAGCCCCATCCTGTAAAGATGCTGCCTCTCTATAGTTGTATTATCTCTGAGCATCCTGGTGTTCCTGGGGGAGAGGTGCCCAGGAGGGTGGGAGGGACGCTGCCCTTCGCTGGTTTGAGAATCCATTTGCTCCGCTCCTGCCTGGCCCCCACTTTACTGCCACCCTTGAGTTACCAGAGGTGCAAAATTCATGCTGGACACGGTGCCGTTCTGATCCGTACTCTGATCCCAGGGTATATTCAGCAAAGATACAGCAAAACTACGTGCAAGTGAGGCCGATGCCTCCTGTGCCATTCAAGGGTTAAACGCTACGTTGTCCTGTGTCACGCTGCAGTCTGTATCGTCTTTCCCAGGTTAAGCACAGAGCGTATTTAGTCCTAACTTGGTCCCGGCTGTGACAGAATCCCAGATACATAAGGCAATGGATTCTAGTAACTGAGCAAAACAGCATTAAACGTCTCCTCTATCTGCCTGTTCCTGACCTGACCCGGAGTGTTGTTCAGTGCGATTTCTTTTGTGATTCTGAATCTGTAATTAGCTAAACTTACGGGTTCACAAATGATGAGAGAGTTACTTTGGCAAAAAGTAAATCCCTCTTCCTGCAGTCACGCCACTTCAAATGTGTGTGAAGAGAAACCTTTTTAAGTATTGCCATGCGTATTAGTGTCCTGGTTTCGACTGGGATAGAGTCAGTTTTCTTCCTAGTAGCTGTTATAGTCGGATCCAACCACAAGTGTTCCTCTTCCAGCGCACGTTTCTGTGTCTGTCCTTGTCCTGTGTCTGTCCTTGTCTGTACGGCAGCTCTGTGGGCAAGACCTTAGGCTTTCCAGGCAAAACTACTGATGCATCTCTCAGGGTTCGTGCTGGCACTGTGGCTTAGACCAGATGGAGGTAGGTGAAAGGGAACTTGGGATAATGTAAAAATCGAAATACGAGCTTATGGGAAGCTTACTCTTCATGAAGCACAAAGACGAGGTACTTTATTTCTAAATAACCTTATCTAGAGTACGTCTCGTAATGAGCCTGTTCTTAAGTGATCTGAGAATGAAGAGATTTTAGCACATTCTCTATTTTACGATATTCTTGCTATATTTTCCTATCCCACCCATATATCCCAGGATGCTGGGAAGTCAGTAAGAACCTGGCAGATTCTGAGGAAATTTTTTTGTTTAAGCTTTTTTGAGAGTGGATTTTTTAGAAAACTTCTTGGATTTTTGAACTGTGTGTGTGTGAAGTTGAATACTGAGAGGAAGGATTGTCACGTATGTACTGCTGCTGTGGACTGAACTCGGGAGCTCTGGAGCTCTGGACTTTACTGTTGATCATTGATTGCTCTTTTTCCCTGTACAAAAGGTAGCAGGTTGGCCTTAACACAAAAAGAAACCCTTTACCATATTGCAAAATGGAATTGACTTTTTTTGCCATTTCCTGGTGCCCTGCTGGTACCGTCATTGCTGTGCTGTGTGCCCAGAACTGGTCACTGGGACCTCCTCACGCCACGGACTCCCCGGTGTCTGCCTTCCCACCACCGCGGTTCCCTCTCCTGGCACCTCACGGGAGCTTCCCTCGCATGGAGAGGTGTCTTTATGCTCCTTTTGTCACGGATGTGCACGAACGTTTGCAGTTTCGCTTCATTTCACGTGTGGCAACAGTGTTTTATTGACAAGTGACGCAGTCTGTGAGGGTACCTGGTTGTTCCTATGTGGCAAGGGCTGCTTTACTGCCCGGTAAGTGGGGGCAGGTCTGCCCCTCTCCTGCTGCTTTGCTGACGGCTTCGGTTTCTTCTCCGGGTATGTTCTCTGTGGGAGAAGGGCCGTTCTTAACCCGACCTACGTCCTCTCCTTCCGAAAGATGATGCACCTACATTTGGGACATCCCCCATCTGCAGCCACGCAGTGGGTTACACAGAAGTACCCACATGCACTCTGAAGCAGAGATGGATTTTTTTGGACATTCTGGATAACTTGTGCACAAACTGGGGGGCGGGGGGGGGCTGAGGTCAGGTCAGGTGTTCTTTTAGCTCTTCTCTGTACATGGTTGTTTCAGTAGTCGTGTGGGAGATGGGTACAGGACAGACAATAAATCCACGCCGGCTAGGGAAGAAGTCCCTAGCTTGTTGGCGTAAGGAGCCCAGTGGGGCATTAAATAAAAAGTGTCGTCTGCCACACACAGCAGTGAGAAGAAGGTGGCAGCAGTAGCAAGGAAAACAGATGACGTTGTTTTGTTAAGCATTTTCATGGTGGGGCGAAAGCCTCGAGTATCTGGTGTGTTGCTACATTTAACGGAGCATCAGCTGCACCATGTGTTTTGGTTGCTTGGTCCCTTCTTTATATTTTTCTCATTTTAGGGTCTTAGAGATTTGACAAGTCAGCAAGAATTTGTACCGTCTTCTCCCCCACGCCACTGACCATGCATTTAGAAAATTTATCGTATGCGTCTCTTTCCTCTGGGAACACTCATCTGGAGTCCTGTGGTCAGAGCTGGGACAGGCCCTGTGGAAGTCACCAAAGGGCGGGTAAGCTCAGATGACAGCGTTCTTACAGACTTGAGTGCCAGGCTGCTTGCTCTATTATAGGTGTGAATTAGAAAATGGAAGGTGGTGGGGGTTTTTTCCCTATCTTCAAGTATATAAAAGTAATCCTAAACCGCAGGGTCTAATCACCCTGAACCGTGTGATGTGACCTCTTTTTAGTGGATCTCTTGCAGCTGGCTGAGGAAAGGCAGTAGCTATATACTTATGAAAGGGCATATAGAATTACTCTCACTTGTGTTGCTTATCCCCTTCCCAAAAGTGCCTCAGTATCTGTCCTCGAGTGGCCTGTACCTTAATAAAATATCTACCTTAGACCCAATCTTTCTTCACTTTATCCTTGTCTGCAGCACACCCTAAAGCTGAGATGCTAAAACAGCAGAGGACTGGATCTACAAAAAAAGTGTTAAATACTTAAGGAACTGCAGTGGGTAGCATGTTAAATAAGGAACTGGCAAGGAAAAGGCTTTCAGGATAAGGTGCAACTTAGATCTCAGTTGTGCTTAACTCTAGGCTGTGTTCACTTGGGTGTTGCGGCTGGGAGCTGAGCAAGGTCTTCCTTCAGCAAGCATTCCTGGAACAACAGGCTGGGAGCAAAGACTGAAACCCAGAATCCCTCTGTTGCATAAAAGCCCAAACCGCAGACACAGAGCCATGTCCCTGCCTGTTGCAGCCGTGCGCTGTGCAAGAGCCTGGTGGACTCCTGCCTCCCGAGTCCCTTGAACTTCAGAAGATCGAGGCTGTGGGGCTGTAGTTGGCACAGCGGTGCCGAGCTGCTCAGCTAGGGCAAAATCAGAATATCACTGGGCAGACACAGAGAGGTGGCTTGAAAACTTAGGCTTTCGGTTCTTGTTGGGCTAGGTGGATGCTGAGTAGGGGTTCTCAGGGTGCTACTTCGGCTGCTGAAAAATACTGACAATAACTTAGATCTAAAATACTAGGTCTGGCCCAGTGAAACAAGCTAGAGCAACAAGCAACACTTCTGCAGCCTTCTGTCCATTCAGATGGGAGTCATTAGGCAGCTGCCTGCTCCAGGTACTTACCAGTCTGAACGGAAGCTCAGAGCCAGACGATGCAGTGGAAGCACGTTCTCTGTTTAGTATTGCACCTGGTTTTGGACTTCTGGCTGGAGGTGAAGAGCCTGTTGTTGTAGTGTTTGCAGTTGGTTGTTTCTTTCCTAACCTGCCTTCTAGAGAGCGAATTACTACTCCAAGAAGCCATCCTTGCTGTTTGTGAGGGCTTGATATTTTTTTTTTTCATCCTGGCTGGGGGCTGTGCTTGGGCATCTGCAGCTCAAGGGACGGTTGAAAGCTGTAGTGCCGAGTGCTCTTGCATAGGGCAAGTTCTGTTGCCAGAATCCCGTTTCCTTCCTTTTCATGTAGCTCTGATCACAGCTAGGCTAACACTTTGGACTGTATTTTTTGCTTTCTAATGGTCACAAATGAGAAATTTCATTAGTACTAAACAAGCGAGGTTCTGAAGTTTGGTCTTTTTTCATTTTAATGATTGTAGTAGACAAAATAATCTGAGGTCATAAGCCTTCCCAGATTTAATTTCAGCTACAGTGGTATGGCAGTACTAGCAAATCCCTAGTAAGGTAGATGTTGCTATTCTGGCAAAAAATAGAAGTGCTTCTGGCAGCATAGGCTCTCACTCACTGAACCAGAGCAAGCTCATGCTATGGAATTTGAGAGTGTAATTACTAGACTATTTTGCTGTGAAATGGGGGGTGGTGGTGGAGGGGTGAACACAGCCCCAGCTGCCATGCCTAGGTAGAGCCCAGGTCTTCAGTAGAATGTCTCATTCCAGGCATGAAATGTACTGAAGGTCAGCTCATCCCCATGTGTCTACTCCAACAGGAGCAGACACACACAGTAGTAGTGTTTACTCCAGTAGGTTACACAACAGGAGAAAGTGTGTCCCAGTGAAACAGAGGGGTGAGGCACATTATCTCCTGCACCTATTGAAGGCAGAAGCTGTGCATTACTTTAATTTGGCTTGGTCTGCTTAATTTTGGCACTAGAAAGGTTACAAAGAACAGTATGGCTTTGACTCCGTGTATGTGTCTGTGCTTCAAAATGCAAGCTCTGTATTGCATAAAAAAAAGGGGGGGGCGTTTCTAAGATTTAAGCCACCATTAGAGTTGGCTCTCAGGCCCACACGGAGCCGGGACTGCAGGGCTAGCCCAAGGCAAGCGTACCCTGTTTGCACCTGCTGAAGTGAACTCTCCTGAGTAGTGTACTTGGCTGGGGAATGAGAAGGGCACCAGCTTGGAAGGGCTCAGCTGTAGTGTTACCAATACATCCAGGGGAACCACAACACAACATCCCTCAGATCTGCTTCCTTAAGTTAAATAAGTTTATCGCTTTTTTCCCTACTCAGAGCGGACCCTCTCTGTGTCTCTTAGGTAGGCTGACTTGCTTCCTCCTAGCTAGAGGTCTATGGTGATGCTGTAGAAGTGGGGGAGCTACGCTTAGCTTCCAGTGGAAGCTGCTTTTCATCTCCTTGCAGTATCTGCAGGGGAGGGAAGGAACGCTATACAATTTGGACAGAACAAGCTGCAGAGGATGCATCTTACTGCTGTACCTTTAGGGGGTCTCTCCCCATTTTTAACTTGCATTGTAAGCTTTTATTCAAGTGTAAAGCTAAAACCCACTCAGACCAAAAGAAAGAATGCCACTTGATTTGTTAAGTAGCAAAGACTAATGGGACTGACTCTGAAGCACGCACGTTAGGGGATGTCTTCCACTAGGCTTCTGCTGGGTGTAGGCAGGTAGTGACGGACTTGCAGGGATTTCCGAATCTGTTCTCAAGAGGCCTGCCTGGGGGAAGAGACCCTGACCGGTCCTCAAGTCACCCATTAACCAAGGAACTGGTCACATTGTTCCTTTTAGTATGCAAGTGCAACCCTCTTGGGGAAAACTGTCTAAAGCTTCTTGTGCCATTTGGTTAATAAAAGTGTTTCCACCTTTAAAAGAAAGTTCTTTGCAGCTTCATTGTTCTATATTCAGTTGAAGTGAAGGGGTATGTACATTTTTTCCCTCTGCTAATGGGACACTGCTGTAAGACCATGCCCCCAGGTTGCACTTTAATAAATGGTACAGTTTTCAAAAACAATGTGTAGACTACTTCTGTGCTTTCCCCCCCCACATGTTCTAGTGTAGGCACAAGGAAAAAAAAAGGTGGTTTACTTATGCAAGATTTGCTTATGCAAGGTGTCTCTATTGCTGCCAGCTGCATCATAAGCAGCAGTAAATTAGAGGAATTCCATGAGAACTTGCACAAAAAACTGACCACAAAAAAAAGATCCAGGTGGAAATTGAAATTCTTAAGAGCTGTATTGCCATGAGAACTGACAATTTTATTTAACTTAAAAAACCCACAAGATATTTACATCATTTCAAAACTTCTGAGGCAGATGGATCACAGGTGAAGCTTTTACTGCCTTGTGTTAGATTACAGGTACGTATCAAACCACCTGAGTCCAAGTTTGTTCAACCTGAGATGTAACTAGAATACCCTTGTAAGAGATGCTAGGTAGTGTTCCTGATCCAAGGTCAATACCTTCTTTCTCTTTATATCAAGATATTCTAAAGCTAAACACTTTTCCTCAAGCATATCCAAATTGTTCCCTGAAAAAATTTGCCCTGTAGGTACCCCTGCCCTTTTCTTTACAATTTCTTGTCCAGCTTTATTTTTCAAGCAAGCACAGGTTAATGGCGATCGACACTGAAGCATCTTTACTTTAGCCTTCCCTGGCCAAACACCCCTGCCTCCTTTAGGGTTGTTTCCTCTTGCTGCCAGCTCCCCTCTAAGACAGACCTGATTTTTTCTTTTCCCCTTGGTGATCTGTGCTGATCAACCACCCATTCTACAGCCTGAGGCCTTCCTGGGAACAATTAACACTCAGCATGGCTCAGCTGCAGCACCAGGAGCAGGGCTGGAAAGAGAGTAACTAAAGCAAAATGCTATAGCTGATTAGGAAAAAAAAAAAAAATATTGAGAGGGCAGGCTCTCTGCCCACAGCATTTCCCCTGGAGGCACAAGCCAGAGTTCTGCAAAAAGCCTGCTACTGCTAAGAAAAAAAAAGAAAAAACCCTATTGTAAAGTGAGAGAGGGCGAGCACTACTCCTTACAGGTACTGGCAGAGCTGGCACGCAGCTCACACTACTGTCATTGCTGTGCTAGTCTACAAAAAGCCTATCTACGAAGCCCTGCCTTCCCTTTCACAGCTGTTAAGCTGTTATGTTTCTCATAAGTTAAGAGCAGAAAGTTATTTGCATACATCAAGAAAAGTCAAAAGTCTTCATGAATCTACATTCTTCACACAGAGGGCTGGAGAGCTCAGTCACGCAGCTAGAGGGAGAGAAACAGAACCAGCGTTAACAGCAGTAGAGCCACAGCAAGCCCTGTGCCTTTGCGCCCACCTGCCTGAGGAGCCTGGCAGCTCCTGGAGAGGGGCAGCAGCTGCCTCTGCATGTCCCCAGCACCACAAACCGTGCCACAACTCTGCCACCTGCTGTGCTGCACATCTGCCATCACCCCTCAGTCCCCCCTCTCTGTGCTAATAGCAGGGAGAAAGCTGGCACAAGCAGTCCCGCAGGAACAGCGTGGAACAGCCCAGCTCTATCCCACCGCTAATGCTACTACACTGGGGTAGGTGGACAACCATCAGCCCAGCAGTCCTTTGCCTGCTCTCCCTGCACTGTGTTATTAGCCTGCTGTGGCAGCACTCCACAGAGCAGTAAGGCAGCATGAGGGCCAGTCCCTTACGCTAGTGACTGGCTTCTGTGATAACTCGGTACCCTTGAGCTAAGCTGAGTGAAAGGGAGGACAGTGCTGAGTGACATTTCACAGTGACACTGTGCCTTGCTGCCTGGCAGAGAACAGGGGTGCTGCGCGAGGCAGCTGCCTGGTCTGGTGACATGGGGTGAGCTGGGCCCCTCTGCAGGTTGCTGCCAACGCTGTCTATGGCAAGGCTGCAGTGCAGGGGTGTCCCACAGACCTGCAGCACCCCACTAAGTGGTTCACCACTGTTCCACAGGGTGGCAGGATCACAGCCCTGACCGCTCTCAAATCTTTCCTAAGTACCACCTAGTCTTTGTATACATGTGTGCATGCACACGCACACACAGAGAGGGGATTTCTTCCTCTCCCCTCACCTGACAGGTTAGTTGCTGAAGCTGGGGCCAAATGCCCTAGCCTCTACCCTGGCTTGACTGCTAGCTGTTTTGTCTCCCCACCTATGCTGCAGCTCCAGAGAACAAGAAGGGAGCTGCCATTTCCCATTTAACCATTTCTCATTGTTCCTCTGCTGGTGCTGTTTCTCAGGGGCAATTCCTTTCCCCTTCCAGTTCTGCCAAGTTCTAGGGAGCCCAGGAAGACAAGAGCAGAGACCTCGGGCCCAAGACATTTGGGAAATACAGCCATCAGAGCTTTCAGGTCAGGCTTTCCTTCCCAAGGGCATGATTAACCTGAGTCTTATCAGCACAGCTCCCTGAAGAGACTGCAGGGAGGAGAGGAGCAATTGCCTCTCTCTGCCCTACAGAATAGATGCACTCTGTTCACCGGCTGCTGTGAGAGTGAGGCAAGCAGAAGCTGCGACACGTCCCCCCTCAAGCCTCCCTCCCTCAGCACATCAACCTTCAGAGCTCTGCAGGGACTGGCATTCCCTTCTGGCCAAACCTCCAGAACACTACAGGGAAACCAGCAGACCACGGGCAGCTCAGAGCTAGGCCACCCCTCCAGGAATAACCTAGGCTGGCTAAGAGGCTGGCTGTGACTAGCACCAAGCTGTTTGACAGCACTCACCATTCTGACAATGTAGTTGTGAAACTGTTGGCTGATGTAGTTCACAGTGGTGCTGAAGACACGCTGTAGAAGGGAGGGCATTGTATTCGCAATTTTTTTAGTTAAGACCATCGCTAGCACCAACATGGCCTTCTCCTGTTCCATGTCTGAGGGGAGGGCTCGTGCAAGCCCTTCCACTGCCTCTGACATGTACCGGGTTATTTCCTGTATGGAAGGAAAAGAGGGATCTCAGTGCAACAGCTGTGGGAGAAAGGGGTCTCAGCACAGCCTGCCCGCACTGTGCTGGTAACTGATGTGCTTGTTCTAACACCTCACAGGATGCCTCTCCCCTTCCTCCCGGCCACGGCAGCCTGCCTGTTACACACCCTGGATGGCAATAAGGATGATTATCTCTGCGCTCAGCTGCTCACCTAAGACAAAAAGAAAGGGAGACAACACACATACCACTGGAAAATTTAGATAGCACCTTACACACTCAGGGTGCAACAGCCCCCCCCTCCCCAGGGTTTGCACCTAGCTGCCCAAGTCCTGAAATAGCACAGGAATCCCGGGGCTCCCAGGAAAGGGCAATCCACCTTAAACACAGTGAAGATCAGGGTACAAGCTTAGGTGGGGACTGGCAAGAAGGCAAAGTGAGTTTCATAGAAAAGCCTTCACATAGGCAGGAGCTAGAGAAGGTGTTCAAGCATGGAATGCTGCCTTCCTCCCAAGATCAGTGGAAGATCAGTTTCCCAAGAGGGACAATGTGAACATGCACACACTAAGCTACACTACTAATGTGAAAAAGCAAGGTCCACCTGGTCAGAAGTTAGGTTTGACTCAGCCTTATCAAAGACTGAAAGGTTAGGCAATAAATTTGAAGGCCTGAAACTTAACTGGGTGGAGAACAAGACAGCGGGAGTGGGGAATGGTCAGACTTTGCTGGAATCAGTCTATGCAGGTGATAAACCCTGGTAGAAAAAACCCACACCACAAAAAAACAGAAAAAGATTGTTAGGAGTCATTAAATCCCGCCTTTTCAGCAAAAAGGTGGACCCTCAATTCAAAGACAGCATTAGCTTGTAGAGCATAGGAAACTTCACAGGCAGAGAAAGCCAAACAAGCCAGAAAGCCACAGTTATCTTGAAGATGCCAAAAAGGCTCTGTGGAAGCAAACTGTGGCTCTTGATTCAGATGTGGATCCAATCCTTAAAGAGAAAAAAAGAGGGATGTCTAACCCAGGGGACCTCAAACTCTACTTCCTTTGCAGAGCAGTGAAGCACATTAAATGCAGGGACTACATCACATCTATTGGTGGGAGAGCAACTGCATCAAAGAGGTGGAGATGCCACCTAGAGAGGCCTTCTCAGCAGGTCACCCATCCAGGCCAAAACCCACTGCTACTCCACACACTGACAGCCTATGAACTAAACAGTTATGGCACTAGGGTCTCACTACTTGCTGTCTCTTCAGTATTCAGTAACAAGCACAAGTCAAAAGCTTCGGGCACTAACACTGCTCAAATTTTACCCACACAATGAGCAGCAGACATATGGGACTCAACACCAAAGTCCAAAGATCTTCAGGGCAAATACTAAGCCTTAACCAGACAGTTGATTTTCAAAGATAAGCCATTGGGCCAACAAAATGAGGACAAAATGCCTCTGGAAGTCAGTCCTTCTCCACAACTACCTCAATTTCACCATCTGCAGAAAGGAGATGAGCCTAAGGAACCCAATTTGCAGGGCAACAGCTGCCACAGGATACAGCATCACCTCTAACAAATCTTCAAAGGGAAATGTTTGGGCCAAATTTTGAGACTGCAATCATTAAAGCAGCAAACTAGCAAAGATACAGATGTTACAAGCTTGCTGCTTCAAAACCACAGAGGAAGGACGCACATTTAAAAGGGGAACTGCTAATCAGGTTGCTTTTCACTCACCTCTCCAGAGAGATTCTCATTCAGAAAGTGCTGCACTAGATCATTTACTGTTCTTGGTTTGATTTCTTTATCAAGCTGGTCTCCAATCTCAGCGAGCTGAGTAGCAACGATCCGGAGAATTTCATTTATCTCAGGGTCATGCACTGCCAATGCATACAGCAGGATTTAGTTCACAGGCTGTAGTCAGACTAGGTTCGGTGCAGGTAAGCTGACCCATAGCATTTTGCCCATCTCCATTAACAACCTCCTTCCCACCCCACCCGCAATCATAGTGCATTCGTGACAACTATACGCACTACAACTCCCTTGTGTGCACTCAACTCATTTACCAGAGACAGTGCGCAAACAGGTTTTTTAGCTGTAGTTTAGGTAAAGTGCAGCCGCACCCTGCCCAAAACACACTACAGGGGAGGTCATAACATCTCCAGCCAAAATTTGTACAGGACAGCTACAGCCAACACCCTGCCTAGACAGGGGAAGTGAGAGAGTGTGCATGATTTTTTTCAAGTGACTGTCAGGACCTGTCTCTTAACCACCATCTAAAATACAGCATCTCATAGAATAGTTTGGGTTGGAAGGGACCTCTAAAGGTCTTCTAGTCCACCCCCCCTGCCGTGGGCAGGGACATCTCTCACTAGATCAGGTTGCTCAAAGCCCCGTCCAACCTGACCTTGAAGGTTTCCAGGGATGGGGCATCCACCACCTCTCTGGGCAACCTGTGCCAGTGTTTCACTGCCCTCATTGTAAAAAATTTCTTCCTTGTATCTAGTTTTGAATCTACCCTCCTTTAGTTTAAAACCATTACCCCTTGTCCTATCTCCTTTTGGAAAAGCTTCCCATTGTCACTTGGGGCATGAGACTATGCAGATTTGTATGAGGGAGGGCTATTTACTGTAGCAGTTCCTCCTCACCCTGCTTAGGTTGAGGTCAATGTGCCAGCTGACACATCCTCGACAAGGGGCAATAGCCATCCTGCAGACGGCTAGTAAAGCAGGAACAGTACCATAAACTATTTGAGGAACAGTTTCCACCACATTGGTAGAGCAGAAAAGGATTCACTCAGTACCAAAACAACAGTCATTCCAAAATCCTAGCCCAAGTACCAATATTCCCTGATGAGCAGTGTGAGGCCTAACTTAACAGCTTAATATCACACTCCTTGAGGACAGCAATCATTAGTACCAGCTTTGTGGCCCTTGTCTGATGTGCTGCAGAGAAAACCCCAGGGTGACAGGTGCCCTAGAAATTCACAGGGAGATAAAGCAGTAAGCACTAGCTGTCTTATCCCAAGCATTAAAATCCCAACCACCACCAGCCACACCGTGAAGCTTCTCAATGGAGAAAACATTACTCCTCTGAAACAGACCACCAGCAAAGATGGGGAAAGAAGAACACCATCTTCAGAGAGGCATGTAGGATGGAGAAAAGAGCGCTCACCTAGCTCACCATTCTGCAAGTGGCCACTCCGATTACCATCAGTCTGAAGTTCCACCTCATCATCATAACAGTAGCTGCCTTTCAGGAAAGGCACAATCCCCTGGCTTTGCAGGGAATGCAGTTGCTCTCTGAAGTTACAGTCAGAGGACACCTCCAGGAAGGTGTACAGCAGCACATGCTCCATCCGGACAGATCCATTGATCTTAAACATAAGAAAATCACTGTTAAGCCCACGCCTAGGAAAAGTCCCACTCAAAAGGTCTACACGTATGCTGTTTTCCAACCCTGAGCTTTTTTCTGGCCTCCTTTGGGCATCCTGAATAGCATTAGCCAGGGAGTCCACAAGACTTCAACAAATGCACACTAACTCCTGGATGTGTACCCACACAGAACTGTCTGATAGTGAATGACAGATGGCTCTGTTCTAACAAACCAGTGGTGGAAGAGTCAGCTCACCTTCTCACATTTCCAGCTGTGGCAATGACAGACACCCTGATCAGAGCTCCTCTTTTGAAACAGATGTGTACTTAGCACAAACCACCCACTTCCCCCTATTCAGACATCTGTGTTTGGAAGGTTTTTACCATTTATTTCGGAATTAGGCATTCTACTATTTCCTGTGCATAATGAAGCCAGCAGCTCCCCATTTAAAGGTAATCAGAGCATAGCAGTAACAAGGTGGGGAACAGAGGTAACAGATAGCATAAGCCTGCAGAAACCCCCAAGGTTCACATTTCTTCTCCCTCTTCAAAGGGAGCTCGACTAGCTCCATAATAAACTGTTCAGCTCCCTGTAGAGAGCCAAGCACCTGCTCACAAGAGTAGTGACAGTGAGATGCCAGATCATTGGTGTTTGGTGTCATCTACACTGGCACGTGCACCCGCAGTAAACAGGCACATGCCACTTCCACAGCCACGCACCCTGCCGCCTTCAAGCAAGGCAGCACAGAGTGCCCAAATTAGTTAGGCTGAGGAGGTCCATGAGGTAGTCAGATTGATGTGAGCAAGAGGTCACAGCGGAACATGCGGCCTCATAACCAAGGCCTCTGTAGAAAACCAGGACACTGTCCAATAATTTTAGTTAAGCAGCTAAGAGAGCAGGATGTTGTGTAAGCACAGAAATAAAGTGAGAAAAACATCCTTACTCTGGTATGCAGACTGTCTGCCTGTAAGATAAGAAAATGCTTAGGCTTAATTGTAACTAGGGAGAAGAATCAAGGTTACAGTAGAATGGTTTGCCTTGCCAGCTGCATCGGGAAATCAATATGCAACCAGGATGAACCTGATAATTGAAAGGGAGTTTCAGGTACCTTTTGAGGAGTGAAACCTTGCAAGGCCACCTATATCTACATAACCATTTCAGTAATATCGCACAGGACCCATATTGCCTAGACAACAGTAGCAAAATTGGGACAAATGCATAAAAAGTAATTAAGGACAGGTTGTTTACTTGAGAGGAGACCGGGCAGAGAAAGGGAGGAACAAAGACAACAAAAAGGAGAGTCCAGAAATGGAAACAAATGCAAAATAAGGTATATGATCAGTCAAAGATCAACAGAAGGCACATCTTCCATGATCTGAGCATGGATGTTCACAGACAGCAGTGAAGCTCACCTGGTGACCCAAGCTCACTGGGACACCAGTGGCGATCCCCTTGAACAACCCACAGGACCGGTCATCAGGTTTATATTCAAAAGGCTTGTGGGAGCACAGAGCAAAGGGGGTTATAATTGTACCCTAACGCTAGGTAGGGTGAGGAGGATGATAGGCATTTCAATAGCAGTTTAACGTAGTTAAGTAAGATTTAAGCGTGATAAATAGTAGCTTCGTAATTGTGATTAATATTGCACAAAACAATGCAATAAATTGATCACAGTGGTGTGTCTATTAATTTGTCTTATTAGTTTTAGTAATCTGTAGCTTAACCAATAAACATGGTATTCTCTTAAATAGCTACATCTCCAGTCTGCAGTTTAAAGAGGGAGTGTCACTGTGAGGTAACAAGGAAGCAGCTTGCAAACTAAGTGGTTCCATCCACTTTTTGTCTGTTTTCATGATGGAGAGAAGCAGTGTCAGCGTCCCTGCAGGAAGTCTGAGGAAGATGAGAAGGACACGAGCCAGCACTTTTTGAGGCTCATCCCCTTTGAGGTATCTCGGAACAAGTGCACAAGAGAACCACTGGTCACTGTGAACCACTGACTTCAGTCACGTTTGAAACTAACCTGTTCCATGATGGTTTCAGAGAGAGCAGCTCTTGTCACCCTCTGCTTCAGACCAGAAGTCCTTGGCCTGCAAAAGAGTGAGAAAGAAAAGCGTGAAAGGAAAAAAATTTCCCATAAACCCACACCTTGCAGCAGTGCTCATGGGTCTGGCCATGTCTCGTAGAAAATACGTAGTGATGCGTATCCATATTTCTGGAGAGGGCTGCCCATCACACACTGGCAGTCATAAAAAAAGCTGAGAAAACCACAACTGTCTCAGCAAGAAGGGCCCTACTCACGTGAATGAGGGGCATGAAACTCCTTCCTGCCACAGACACACAGAAGACAGTCGAGTGACACAACCTACAAATGGGGCTTTAAAGCCAAGAGGTGGTGCTAGGGAAGGGAGGGACAACCCTTCATAGTGCCAGAGGCTGGAAGGGAAAGCAGCGTTATCACAGAGGAGTTCCCGAGTACCTACGGAGAGCAGGTGAGCTGCTTGGGTCTGTGTGCACAGCAGCATATTCTGAAGTGAAACACCCAGCTGACATTGCAACACATCTGCAGGACTTCAACTGCACCTCCCCCTACCTCCCCCGTGCAGAGATACATGTGTATACTCAGGCTTATTTCAATACTTTCCCAACAAATATCTAGGGACAGGGAAGGTTGGACCAAGTGTCATCAAAGGCTTCCTAGTTACACGAGCACAACTCCACTAAGCCTCCAGGGAGGCCTACTAGGAAGAAGGGAGAAAACAGGACCCAGGTCACAAGCTCCTCTGCCCCCACGGTGCATGCTCAGGGCTGACACCCTCGGCCTGTCTGGTGGCTGGACAGTGCCCAAGGGAAGAAGCACGCAGGGAAGGCAGAGAGCACAGTGCAGAGGGTGGCCTCCCTCACCCACTAAGAAAGGGGAGCTGGTAAGAGCACAGTTCTCCCTCCTCATCCAGCCAGGCATAGCTGATAGGTGGGTCAGACCAGCAGCCCAAGTAGTCACATCTGGTACAGGAAGTCCCAGAGCAAGAAAGGTGCGGGAGCAGCACAGCAAGTGCCAATAACACGAGACTACCTAGCAAATGCCAAGGCAGGGAGGGTAGGAATCCTGTTTGTGAACCTTGCCTTTGCCACCTTAGATGCAACAGTCCCACAACTGCACACAGAAGTCTCTGGTGCAAGCTGGCTTCCACTCGTGATGAGCAGGGCCTGGCTGAAAGCAGGCACTACCTTCCCACCAGGCCTTCTTCACCCAGGGCAATAACCTGGCTGCTGCACAGGTACCTTCTGACCAAAAATGGGGCGAAAGCACCAAGGAGCCGAAACAGATGGCCTGCTAACCATCAAAGATCTGGGCTAGTGATGAATGATCTTATTTCATAGTAACCACCCCCGACAACTGTGTTTTAAATAACTAAGTGTGCTGGTGGAAAAGAGGGAGAAAGTGAAAGCAGAAATTAATTCAAACTCTGAAGGAAACAACAGTAATCATTTCAAGAGACCATGAATTTCCCAACTTTTCAAAGGCTCTTAGGAGTCCCCAAGACCAAAACACAATCTCAAATAAGTCTAAAACACACAATAGCCCACAGGCAGCCTCTTAACCATGAGCTCTTTCTTTCATTTTGTTGTTATATCAGATTAATAGCTTCCTAAAACACAGGCTTAGCATTTGCTGCTTTGTGTTTTCCTCTGTTTGATTCAAATCCCTATTGCTGCTACTCACCTCTACCCTAAAGAGTGTGCTGGCCAGGGAGAACGCAGTCCTCTCTGTCCTCTTCCTCGGGACCTGACAGGGTAACCCCTCTCCTGGGCCTGACTTTGCTGGAGGAGAGACAGATGTTAATTCAGGTTGGAAAACCTGAGACAGAATCCCTGAGATTAAGAGGAAAGTGGGGATTTAGCATTACGTTTGTGGCAGGACCCTGGCTTTGTGCCAACTCCTCAGGAGTTGTCCACACCAGCAACATTTCTGTAGGCTAGGCAAAGCCTCAACCTGCACATATTTTGGTTTTATATATAACATTTATTTTCAAAGTAATTCAGCCCAAAACCAAGGTGTTCATGTTGCAACTAGTAAACAGTGGATATCCTCTGATACTAACTCCTGCTGAGTTAAACGCCACTTCCTGAAACATTATGGCTTAGACCACAGGAAGCCTGAAGTAGTATTGCACCTTTGCTACCCACATGCCATTTGCCTTGAAACCCACATTCATCACAGTGAACCTTCTTGGGCCCTACCAGTATTGCCATCCCCAGCCAGCTCTAGCCTATGCCAAAAGCTTCATGTGGGACCACAGCATTACTCTACAGCTGGTCAGATTAACCCAAGCTGGCTAATTTGGGCTGGTAATAGCCAGCTGACTTTGTAACATGAGTACCGGCTGAACAAATCTTCCCATCTTTCAAGGTGCAAGAAGTTGCACCATCCTCCATTCACACCACACTACATACACAGATGGGCAGATGTTCTCCCACAGTTCTGGCAGAAGCGTGATGCAACACAAGCCACGACAGCTGCAAGTTGCACACAAGTGGCCAGATGTGCTGGTGAAACTCGCTGAGTAGCACCAAAGAGATTTCTCAGTCGCAAAAACTTTACAGCAAAACTTCTTCCACCCAAACCTAGCCAAACTGTGCTAGAACAACCTACTTTTTCTCATTGATGAGAATTCCAGTAAATTGCTGGAGGGCAAGTTGAGCACAGTCAGGTGGCAACAAACAGACTAAATAAAACATCAGCCTGCAGAGGGACCAATGTTATCTTTCTTACAGCAAGAGGATGGAACAGAAATAGAAGTCAAGACACTTCCTTGGGGGGGTTTGCCACCTGCCACATCTTTCCAAGGAAAGCTCAGAATGTGGCTTTAAAACCCAGATTCCCTACTTTTTTTTTGTCACACTATTTCACACTGCCAGGAAACTCATTTGGTTCAGTCCAAACACTCATAAAAGAGGCAACCAAAAAGAAATGCGCTATTGTCTTTTCCCACTCCCTGCTTTAAAAGAAGAGGCACAGACCACTTCAGTCCGGGAAGGAAAAGAGGCACACTGCTCCATTCCCAAAGCAGACAATACAAGTCAAACAAAAAGATCCAGATCTATTCTAGGCATGCCCATACAGCTAGGCCCGGAAAGGCAGGGCATAGCAGCCTGGCACAAGGCTCTGCAAGCGCATTACCCACACCAGCTTACTATGGTGACTAGAAGCTGTAAGAGGAGCTCGAGCCTGTATGCCTGTGCATGTTCCTCTCATCAGTTCCTGGAAACGCGCAGGAAAGGTGCCTGTCTGTATCTCTACAGACCCAAATACTGTATTTTGAAAGCACTTATGCTTTTCAAAAAGAGGTAGAAGCTTATACACTGGTCATGGCAGAAAGGTCCTCCCTGGGTGCCATGCACAGGTAAAACACCTGGACAAGAGCCTTAATGCAAAGAGGAAGGGGCTGAGCAGCCCCTGCCCTGCCAAGGTACCTGCTGCACCCAGAGATGTTAATGGGTGTGCAGGGGGAAGAGACCTACAATACATAGGGGTTCTTCCCATCCCCTTCCCCTCAGGGGATCATCTCAGCTTTATGTAAAGTTAGACATTCCTCAGGGCAAGTCCACAAAAATAGAGACATTAAAAAAAAAAAATCACTCATCATAGTTGCATATTGCAAGCTTGTCCACTCCTGCACATGAGCAGAGATAAGAACTGCCAGAAAGAAAAAAAAGAAAAAAGAAAAACCCACCACACTCCAAAGTACTTATATGGTAAAAAATTAAGATAAGGAGGCTTGAAGATGATAATTTCATGAACTGAATTCCCTGAATCAAAGAATCACCACCCAGGCAGTGAAAGTCCCTGAGGGGTTCCAGCCCTTGGCTAATAAAGTTCTGCTTGGGTGGTCAAAAACATACCTGAGAAAAGGAAAAAGGATTTCTCTCACACCACAAAATGGCTCCCTACTACTACCATACAGGGCCTTATTTTTTTTTTTTTTTAGTTAACTAGTAATTCCAGAAACCTCAAGTTTTAGATAATTACTTTGAATCAACGCAAAGGGTTTGGATATTCACAAAGTTCCTCCTGAGAAGTCAAATTCCTTAACGGAATCTAAAAAAAATTGGACCCCTAAAGAGCAAACTCCAAACAGTCAAATGTAATCATGCCAAAGCCACCTGAAGTTTTTAATCAGTAAGACTTTGGAATCCTGATAGTTTCAGATTAAGACATTTTCTGGTGGATGGAAAAAATTACCTTATATTAGGTGAAAAGAATCTTTAGTTGGGGAAAGAGAAAAGATGGAGATAAAGGCTACAAACACCATCTGCATTCAGATTCAGAGTAAAACTATATCATTTGCTAAGGCTGCTTTAGTGCTGTTGAAAATCTTGGAATTAACTTTATGGGGTATGATTTTAAGTTGAAATACCAATTAATTTTAATACATTATTCCTTTTTACACTTTCAATTCACTCATTAGACAAGCAAGCTTCATGTGTTAACAACTGCCTCTGAGAAATCTGCTAGATGCTTTGAAGTATTCAACAAACAAAACAACCACCAGGTTTTTGGATCAGTTCTTTCCATCTTCTTTAGAAAAAAAAAAAAATGGAGGGGCTATTTTAAACACAAGTTTAGGACCCTTAAATCAGCTCTGAAAAGTCAGTGTGGGGCATGTCCATTCCAACTCAACATTGTGTTGGGATGCACGACTGTGGAGAGGCATGTGTTAAATAAACATAATTGCAGTCAGAGGAGCACATCCACCAGCCGCTTGTCAGCGCAGAATGACAGACCTCATTCTACCCCCACACATGCCAGTTTTCACAAGAGAGAATTCTGTGGATGCTTCCCCCAAAGCAAGTCTCCAAGGCTTCCCCCCAAGGCAATCACAACTCTTTAGACAGGGCTAAATACATCTTGAGGGACGGTACATACTGCTCTCCTCAAGCATCACAGGTCCTTCAGGTCTGCTGTCCCATCTTCTGTTTCTTCCTCTCACCCCTGAGTTGTATCAGCCTTTCAATCTTACAAGAAACTCACCAGAGCAGCTGTTCCCAGCTGCAGCCCACCAATGAGGGGTGGCAACACTTGAGGCAGCAGTGGCCATAGTTGTGCTGGAGAGACACCAAACTAGGTCCTTCCTGCCATACCATTGCAACATACTACATATTGCAAGAGCAAACACCGCAAGCACACATTTTATCTCCCCCGGTGGGGAGCTACAGATGGAAACAGTACAGCTGCAAAGCGTGCAAGGTTTCACCTGCTCTAAAATCAGTGTGGGGTTCTGCTGTACCTCCAGGCACTGCAAGCATATCAGCAGCATCCCACATAGCAGCAACAATCAGCCGGTAGCATATAGTTACCTGTTAGGGGGAACTCTCAATAGCTCTCAAGGCTGCCATGAACAGGACTAGGTCCCAGAATCCCTACAGCAACAGTGCTAAGACACCCTATAAATCAGCTTTCGTCCCTTCTTCGCACTTTTGTTACATCTTCAAGACAGCTCGGAAAAGAATCCACCCACGAATAATGCCTCTGCTTACCATCGCTTTCCCTCAGATCCTTCACCTCTCCTCACAGCTCAGCGTGAGAGTTACTATTCTCAGCTGTATCAGACACTGTCTGGTTATGAAAACATACTCCTCCCAGCAGCAAAGCCGCATGCCTGTAGAACTGACTCCTTTAACAACTTGTCTGGATTCCGAGACACGTCCCATACAAACACCTGGACAGACACACCATCAATGGACCTGTTGTGTGAGTTGTCAAGATACTTATCTTTATGTCTCACATTTGAGTTAGGAATGAATTCAAGTCTTCAAAGCAGAAACTGCAATAAAGCATCAGTCACTGACATGGAAAAAACTTCCAACCTGTGCACTGCTTTCTTTGCCTGGCAGCTGAAAGATAAGAACTTTATTTTTAGCAGTCAGGATGACATCATTATCGAAGAAATGAAATGGTGCCTATTTCTCCCTTGCTGGACCTGGTGGCTCTTACCTGTCTCATAGGCAAACATTTCACTGTTGAGCTGCAGAGCTCTTTACAGAACAACGCATCATTTTACAGGTAGGGAAACTGAGGCACTTGATGATGTGTCCCGACATTTTAAATCCACATATCAAGCCATAACCACTCAATTTCACTGCCTTCCTGAAAACTTGCCACAGGCACAACTGCTTTACATAACCAGCCAGTACTGGAAAGTGAGGAAGAGAAACAGTGCCACAGACTTAGAAATTCCTTGTTTGAGGATATTCTAAGCTGTGCCAGACTGCTGTCCGTAGCACTTCGAGTCATGACAGTGTAAGCAAATCCCACATCATACAGCCTGAAGTCCCCAAAGGAAGCCCCATCACCCTGCCACGCTCAATTTCTAGCCCATAAACCCAATAGGAAATAAAAAGCCCAGCTAGCAGCAGAGACCAGAGCTTCTCCTCTTATTTCTCTAGCTATGGAAGAAGCCTGACTACTCCCACAGCGCTGCACATGCACTTCAGACTTGGCAAGGAGAGAGAGAAAACTAACAGCAAAAGGGAAGATAGCTTGTTGATCGGCAAAACAGTGCTGAGATGAATAAATAGGAAGTTATCATAACCACAGAAAACCTGTCCCCATCACTATTCAGCCTGCAAAGGATATGCCAGCCTGTAACAGTGCTTAGAAGGCTCCAAGATTTTCCCTCATCTGAGACCCACTGTCCTCCTAAAGTAGAATTTGATTCTAGGCTTTGGAAAGAAAAGCAGGCTGGCGGGGGAACAGAGACATTGCAATATATTAGCCAGGTGAAAGATGGGCTGAACAAACCCCTTTGTGCACCTATGGATGCACATGTATGTGCTACTGTAAAACCAAAGTGATGGTTCGGTACCATCTGGTTAATACCAAAGCTATCTGCTTGGAGTTTCTCAGGACTTTCCCCACCACAGGAAACACAGCTTCCAAACTACAGGCATTTTCCATGCATTTGCCTCCAAGGGAGGCTACAACCTCATTTGCTTCATTTTGGAAGTGGCAAAACTGACAAGCTATGGGCAGAATACTTTGAGATGCCAGCAGGTCTGTGGCCCAGCACCGGACAGACCTCATTCCCCCAGTCACTTGTGATTTATTTGCTAAGCTTTTAGCAAAGAGACCCTGCTCATCAGGAACCACTAGACTGCTTAAATCCACCCCGCCCTGCTACTCTCAGGTATGACCGCTGATTGCTTGAGGCTGTCAGCTTTTGTTTCTCTTCCTTTCAGCTTCAGATTCCATCCTCCAAGATGTGAATAATGCCACTACCAACCACTCCAGCAACGATAAAAAAAAAAAAGGAGTTTGCTCATAACACCTTTAATGCAAAAATACGTTGAAACATGCTGAATGCTTCCTGCTCCTAACAGTTTCAGTGTATATTTATCTTCCAGTATTCAATGGCACTGAAACTCTAAATGGAACACAAAGACCCAACACCAATGGATGCTTGTCTGACTACCTCTTCAGCTGGGACACCTTTACCTTTGCTTCTTTATGCTGCTCTAGTACAGAGTGAAATCTCAGCCTGGACACTAAGTATTCCCAGCTGTGTATTTTGACTTAGAAATACATTGCACAGTTTAATGGAGCTTTATTTTCCTTTTTGAAAGAAAAACTTTATTAGAGACAATTCTAAAAAGGTTTCGATTGGCCTTTTTATTAGACATTTATTTCTGCTCCCCAATGTCTGCTGCTTGTTTCACATTGCTACAATTTATGTCATCATGAAAAATAATCTTCTAGTTATCGGGGCAGTACTTCTTAGTACTGACTTCTTCGGAGGAAAAACATCCAACTTCCTCATCAACCTTTATTTTCATTTGGCTCAAAATGCTCTGTTGCCCAGCCCCTATGCAGCACATCAATGAATAAGAAGTAACACTGCCATATTACTAATTCTCAAAAAAAAAAAAAAGGAGGCAGGAACTTGATTACTGTGGTTTCTATATCAGATCAGTGATGGAGGCAGCATGACGACACTGTTCAGTATTTTTCAGAAGTCAGCCTACAGATGTGGCTGGGTGAAACTGAGTCAGCAGAAAGCCTGCAGCTCAAACTGCCCCAAAGCTTGGAGCTGGGATTTGGATTCAGCTAACTGGAGCTAGAACCAAATGGAATTTGCACATCTCCATATTTTGGGCATGTCCACACCTAAGAGGAAGGAGCAAGATTTGGATCTTGACTGCCACAGTGCAGGTGTTTTTTTGGATCTGGGGCTGAGCTTGGTTTTTCCCCTCTGGTGTGGAGCAAAGTAACTCCAGTCAGGTAAGCCTGCCCTGCGTTTCACCTCCTCATAAGCGTGAAGAAAATACTTCTACCTTTTCTAAGGACCTGGCAGGAGGACGCAGAGCAAACCCCGATGAAAAGGCACTACCACCCTCACAAGACAGGTGGTCTTTACAGGGTTAGCTTCACATTCACAAGTCCAACTGTATCAGCCCAGCAGCTGCAACACAACACCGTAGTAACGTCACAGGGCATATTCAAGCTGTTCTTACTGTTTGCTTTTTGGAAATGAAAAAAAAAAAACAAAACAGGAAAGACAGGAATCACAGTTCCAGTCTTTTGACATTACAAAGGAAGGACAAACAGACTGAGAGCAGGGAGCTCCTCAGTATTGTTGATAAGTAGTGGGCACTGGAACAAACTCCAGCCATCACTGGTGATGTGCAAGTGACAGAAATGCAAGACCTGCTTCCAGATTTAAAAGATGCCCCTGCTGGGGCATCAGCACTGGACACTTGCACTCTGGCATGCTTTTACAGTTGAGCAGCAACAAAGCGCTCAGTTCCCTGGAGCAGAGAGGACAGTCCCTGTTATCACTTGGCAATAGTGCCTCTGACAGATGCAGGTGCCACTTGGACAGGCTCTGACAAGAACTGCCAACCAAAAGACCTCAGAAAGTGGGACTGGATACAGTAACTTTCATGCCACCTAGAGGACAAGAATATCCTCCTGGTTTTAGTTTTAAACACATGTACTACAGTTATGTGCCAGCATGAGCACAGATCATCCATCCGTCAGAAAATCAGGAATGCCACTTCGTATTGCAACTTAGATGCATTTCACAGTTGATATCAACAGTAAAGAGGAATGTAAATCTGTCTTGTCTTTGCCTGACTGGCAAGTTAGGTGAGTAAGGAAGGAAACTGATCAAAAATAACAAAAAAAAAATCAAAAGGATGGCTGTATGAACACAGGTGGCCACTAACAGTGGCACTCTCTCTGCCTTTGGTTACCTTCAGGCCATACGACTAGACAAGAACTCCTCTTCCAGACTCGTAAGTACCAGGAATATCTGCACTGCTTTCTGAAAAAAACAGAAGCTATAGAGATGCTCACAATGAGAAAGTTTAAGTACTGGATCAGTGTAGGTCATTTGAGAATACATGGCCAAGGAGCAATACATCGTAAAAGAACCTGATCAAAGCTCCCTGCTTAGTTAAAACAAGTATGCTGATGCAACAGCCAGGATGGCACTCACAGAGCTATTAAGCAACAGCTCAGAGCACAGGACAATTTACTTTTAAGAGGATTTTTCCCCCCCTGCCCACAGACCAGCTGGTACCCCACAGAACGATTTAAGTGAAGCCTGTTCACCTTACCAGACTCAGAACATTCACTACATGGAAAAGACTTAAAGCAGTTATGAAAGAAGGGGTACAAAGACAAATCTTCACAACAGCATGCTTATCTGCTCTGAAAGCATACACAACCCTGTCTCAATATTTGATAGCTTCTCCAAAACATGAAAATGAATTTTAAATGGGTTTCCTCCCTCCTAAACATCAAGTGTATCATAGCTATAAACACCTCTTACATTCCTTACTTTTATGACACAACCGTGTACCAGTACAGACAGCCAAAGAGACGATCCCCAGAAGGAAAGCCTGACACTAGTCCTTTGATTACACTGAACACACTAGTCCTTAGGAAGACTCTCTCCCATCATGTTGTATTTCAACCCCCTACTCCCACCACAATAATTAAACTGATAAAGCCACCGAAAAATCAAAATCATCTTGAAGGAATCTCTTAAGACAGGAGCCCAGACATCCTCCAGAACCTCAAAGAGGAAGTTGCGCATCAAACCAGGCAGCCAAAAAATGATGGTAACTCAAAACAGCATTCATAGCCCTGATCAAAGCCTTTTGACAGCAGCGCCTCATTAACACTGTGAGAATAAAAGAAAGCATCGTCTCTTTTAAACACCTCTAACACAATGATACACAGCTAAGAAAATATCCTCTTTCAAAGGAATACAGCAGGCGCCATTTGGAAACTGTGGCAGCAGAATTGCAGAACAGTCGCCTCCAGGAGCACACATTTCATACTGCCGAGGCAAACCTATGCAGTTACACGAGATGCCTCAGCACGCTGCATCAATCTTCCACTCGACACCGCTTCAGGGAAAAAGTGTTGATTTTACTAGGAGAGAACACATGACCGTGCATGAAATAACGCAAGCCATTTCACTTTCAGTTTTAGCTTAGGAGGAAACACAGATTAATGTTGAAACCCAGGAAATGAATATAAAACCAAAATACAGCAACTAGCTGATCTAAGTGGATTTGTTTTGTACAGCTGTTGATTTAAGGGTGTAACAACAATTACACCAAGCTATGAGTTACACCGACCAAGGAACATATTTTCTCCTTTAAAGGAGATGAAAGAAATAGCCCAGTATGTTAGAGAGACCTGGGCTTTGCCCATTCACTGTAAACCGCAGGAATACTAGGAACTGATCAAAGGTCATGTGTTTTATCAGAAAATACAGCAGGTTTGCAGACATTTAAACAAAAATTCAACATCCACGTGTGCAATGATTGCACACATGGTCCAATTCCCCTGCTTATACCTTCAGTGAAGCTGAATAAGAGCTCTGAGATTTTGAAGGAAAGCCGTGAGCAAAATACTGCGGTAGGAGGAGTTTAAAGCCACAGTGACACCGTCCTCTCCCGTGAGAGCATTCTGAGGTTGTATTGAGGTGTACAGCCCTTTCCTCGTGTTCACCAGCAAGGACAGTCCAACAAGCCCACCATGGCCAGGAAGCACTCTGTCACCCCCATGCAGTGCCCGTACGGGTGTGAAGCGATAGGAAAGCCAGCAGGCTGGATCAAGAACAGAAGTTACTAAGTGCCCAAGGCAGTGCTACCAATGCTCTAAGCCATGGGGCTACTGAAGGGGATAGGACTGAAGGATTCTTAGAGCAGCTGTTGCAAAGAAGGGTACGAAAGAGACATCAACACACCACTATGCTTCCTGCATGGTTTTTGAAACAATTGCTGAAGTGTAGAGCAATGCATGCCATCTCATCCAGATATAAGGAGGTGTCTAATGCACACCACTGGCAACTACAGGGTCCTGCTCACTTCCCAATATAGTTGAGGTAACAGTAAGACATCAGGACATCGTTCACTACAGACAT